TGTAACTTAATGATGCAGTTTTTTATCAGCGTAGATTGTCTTAAGTTATCATAGGCCGAAGTTATGAAGTTTAATTTAAGAATGAAGAAATGATTTTCGATGGATAAATAGACCTAGGCCTATAGAAAAATATTTTAATTTAGCTTAGGCCTATGTCTTAAGTTATAGACTTGGTACTGTAGGTCTAAGGGCTTATCCTAGTCCTATGTCCTGATGCTAGGGTTTTTCGGCAAACGTTTAGATGGGTTAAGATTAGCATCTCTCAAAGATTTTAAGTTTTGTACGCCATACCCATTGATTAAACTAAGTAAAGGTAGGCTACCGTAATGAACTAATTTAAAACAACCTTCTACAAAATGTCACTTGACTGGAGACCTGCCATTTTGGTTTTATGTAGCTGTTAACTTTAAATCATATCCTGGTAACTTGTGCCTATTTAAGTTACTAAAGATGTGTATTGCCCATGCTGTAAGTTGTAAAGTTATTGTAACAAGGTTACCTAGGCTGCTGTGTTATTTTTCAAATTAACTAATTAGCTTCAGCGAACACAGATTTAAAACAAGTGGCTTGCCGTTTGAACAAACGTTACAAGATGAGTTGCCATCTTGCTTTGCATCGAAATTTGCAGAATTTAGAACTGTAATTTAGATATTATTATGAATAACTTGGTCTGTGTGCTGCAATTTAACTTACGGTACCGGTATTAACAATTTTGGAAAAATTCTGAAATTTTCTGCTTTAAATAAACCTTACCATTTGTAGGCCTATAGTTTTTAAATTTTATTGATGATTTGTAATTTAAAACAAAAAATATTAATAGCCTAAATCATAACTTAATATTATTAAAACCTTAGAGTAAGAAAGTTAGTAGGTTAAACTTACTAAAACTTTCATTTGTTGGTCAAACAAAAATTCACTTGGAAGAAAGTTGTTTAAAAAAAAATTTATGCCAGACTTATGGTTTACTTCTTTTTCCATCTTGCTTAATTTAGCCAGAATTTCAGGTTGGACAGAGAGGCAAGACCATTGAACGAGTCTAAACTAAATTTTTTGTACTTGATTCATTTGGTAAATCCCACTGTACACCCCTGAAAACACACACTGACCAATTATGTCTATTCTGTACTTTACTACAGAAGTGAGATTGTCAAAGCTAGTTTGTTAAATACAAATACATGGCATATTCTCTCTAAAAGCTGATTGTTTTGTATTTTTCTTCCAATACTAGCTGTAACCCGCGGGCTTTGCCCCGTTTAACTTCTTAATTTTCAAGATGATCTCGTTCGCATGGCCCAATCACGTCCTGGTTGAAGTTTGTTCGCTACGCTCACTCACCTTTAGATTGGAGCTCGTTCGCTACGCTCACTCACCTTTAGGTTAGAGCTCGTTCGCTGCGCTCACTTGCCTTCAGGTTAGCTTGTTCGCTACGCTAACTCGCCTCCAGGTTGAAGTTCGTTCGCTACGCTCACTCACCTTTTGGTTGCAAATTAGCTGTTGTCATAAATGTAAAAGAAATAATAGTGCTGCACCCTGTTGGTAATCCTTGTAACTTTAATGCTATTAAACATCATAGAACAGAACCAACTTGTTTAATTGAAACAGCTGTTAAGATTCATTAATTCCATTTCTCATAAGGTTAACATGGGAAACTCCAGAGCCACTGGGGCGGAGCCCAGAGGTCGGAGGGTAAAATCCTTTCTTAGTGATCGTCTACTACCCAAAAGGATGATGCCTGCCAAGATTCAGGTTCCTAGGTCTTATGGTTTCTGAGATTTCGTGATGAGTGAGTGAATGAATGAGTCAGTGGTATTTGAGCTTTATATAGATTTGCATAACAAATTCTGTTGTTATTGTTATCTATTATGAGGCGTTTCACTTAAACTGTTTCAGTTGTAGCCAAGAGACTGTTGGCTGAAGCCACTGAATTGAAAGTAAAAAAAAACTGCATCCATGCATGGCTGTGACAAGCCAAATTTAGGGCCAGTACCTAAAAGGTTTGTAGAGCATATTAGTTATAGAACTGTTTATTTCATAAGGTTTACTTTTGTTGTTACAGTAGAACCTCGATAGTTCGACACTCCCTGTAGTTCGACACAGGCCGTGATGACAAGACATGGCATCAGTGGCCGATGACGGGTTCACCAAGGTTAAAAACTAGAGCATTCTTAGTGTTTTCGTGCATGGAAAAACTCAATAGGTAGCCTACTTAAAATATCCCATTAACTTACATATTTTTTAAGATCCAAAGTGTAAAAAGCATGTGACGTAAATTATGAGGGGCGAATAAGATTGTATTTACTGAGCAGCCTACCCCTAGTACCAGCCACGCTCAAATTTCTTCCCCGGGGTGCTGAGAAGGATTCACGGTTTTGACTGATTAATTATTTTAATTTAATCTAAGGTTCAGAGCTCTAGAAGCGCTCAAAAGATCCTGCAGACGCCCAGGAGGAGAGCAATATCATCCTCGCCTTTGTTAAAATGTTATTGCAAATTTTGCCTAACTTTTAGAATAACTGTAGGACAGACGAGTACTCTACCCTGGCCAATTCGATAAAACTACCTACTCGTTTAAACTGTTGCAACAACGGGTTTTAGAATTCTAATAACAAGTCTCGGGTATGTTAATTTGGTTTATTAGTATAAGGAACATACAAGGGTGGTTTTTCAAGTAAGAGCCAGTTTCTGCGTATAAATCCATAATTCGCTTAAGTACGCTGCAGCAAGGCTCCTCGCCACTTGCTGGTATCATTTGTGAACAGAATGACACAATTTGCAGCTCTGTAGCTGACATGTACCTACATTTCGCTGTGTGTTTCAACAATTTTTTAGACTTTTTGTCCCCGTACGCTAGGCTGGAGCCCGGGATTGTTTTTCACATTACTTCAGGCTAGACCTAGGGGTTACGGCATTATCACTTAGTTAAAATCCATTGGTGATTTGGCGGGATTTTAACCCTGGACCCCAGGAACCGGAATGACCGCGCTCTAACCACTAGACCTGCTCGCTCCCCAATTTTTTAGACTATTGATAATGTCAATGATAATCAGGGCCGGAGAGAGCCATCATGGGCCCCTGGGCTCAGCGATCCCGGGCCCCCTATTTACTTGATTTAGTGTCCAGCCGTCTCCGTGCCGTTTTGTCACACAAATAACTATATTAATAAATGTTTGCTCACAGTTTCAGCTTTAATCACAGTCAAAACAATTCAAGTAAAAAATTACTTAGTGAACTGGAAAACCATGCTGAAATTTTTAACTCAAGCAGATTACATGTACAGAAAAAATTAAAAAAAAATTAGATAAAACATACTCCCTTAGTCGATACTTTATGATTTTTTTTGTTGCAGGAAAAGAGGAGTTATTGGTGCACAGAATAGGAACATCAGGCTGAGGTTATGCGACAGTAAATAATGTATAAGTAAAATGTCACTTAATTTAACTCATGTTCTAATTTTCAAGTTTGTTTTATACTTTATATTTTCATAAAATAAATTTACTATAACCAATGTCACTTGCTACATTTTATTTATACCCCCACAAATAGTGATATTTTGGCTATGTTTGAAGAACTGTTTTGAACTTTTAAACTTTTTGTTGATCACTGAGATGTCTTTTCTAAAGCAGGGTCTGGTGTAATTTGATGAGGCCTATTAAAAATTAAATGCTCTCACCCTTCACTCACAAGCTTGGCAGAATAGGCTTATTATTTTTAACCTAACTCAGTTATCCTATACAACATTTAAATAAAGTGTTATAGCATCATTTATAGGTTTCTAGCTGCCCCTCCCCTTGGGCTTCACAACAGAATTGAAAAATTTTCTTTGCTACAAACAGTTGTTTTGCATTGGTTTTGCTTAGAATTTTCCTAACAGCGGTTTGGTAGCTAATACAATTAAACGAAAGTTCTGTCAAAAGAAAAATATGTTAACATTGTAATTTTAAAGCCAGTGAGCCAGAGCCCTGATGGAATCTCTCAAAGCTACTTCTTGTACATATTAAGTGAAACCTATTATGGAGGTTAAGTGAAACCTCCATGCCACCAAGTTCTGAGTACATATGCATGGTAGTTTTTGAGGAATAGTGATCAATGAGTGAGTGAGTGGTAACTGTATTATAATATAGATTATAAGGTCAAATTATGTATCCACCCAAAGTTTTCTGCGTAGATTAAAGCTTAAGGTAATGTACCTTGCGTTTAATATTTTAAGGCTTAACTTGCTGCCATAAAGCAACCAATATTTTGATATCCTAATAGATAGCTGTCCCCGCGCTTAGTAGGCATCATTAAAGTTCTTGAGTTCACAAAGACAAAACAGCTAGGCTATCCACTAGGACATTAAAATATTGGACTACTTTAAGACCGTAAGAATGCCGTAAGTCAAGCAAAATTCCTTGTCAGTCAATCACTTGTTACTGTATGTACTGAGTTGATCATGATTATGCTTTTATTTAACCCGAATTCAACAATATATTTTGATTTCAGCCAAAAATCTTTACCTTGAATTAACCTTAAATTTTCAGGTTATGAGTCCTGAATTGACCATGATTTTACCTTAATTTAAACATACTTATACCTTAATTCAACCTCAATTCAGCCTTGATTATGCATTACTGCCAGAAACGTTTACCTTGAATCAACCTAAAATTTTCAGGGTTGATTCAGGTTTCACAAGTGTTCAGTAGGACCCTTGAATTAGCCCTGAATTAGGCTTGATGGCTTGATATTTTAAGATTAATTCAGGCTTGCATCTTTGAAAGTTTAACCTTGATTTAATACTGAATCAGGAAAAAATTGCTATCTGGGTGATGATGCATATATATTTATACTGTTTGTCTTTGATCTCATTACCCATACAAAAATTTAGTCATTGATCTCATGTTAATTTTTCTTTTGGTTTTTTTTATTAACGTCACTTGTGAATGGTTAGGTGTAACACTAACTACAGCAGGTGGATGGAACAGACTTTAATCCAAACACAACACTCAAAAATCTATACGTACCTTTACTTCCCTCAAATTCATGGCTTCTTCCCATGATTTGTATTTCCTCTTCATCCTGAAAAAATAAAAGCGATTATGTTTATTTTAAAATTGGATAAATCATTCCTAAAGTCTGTAGTAAATTTACAATCTATTAATTAAATAAAAATGTTGATTGTCAATTATTTATTGTATAAAACCATATTAACAAAATTAAAACATATAAAGACACTGAAATATTAAAAGGGATTTTGGGGGAGTTTTCATTGATGATACTTTTTGGTCTACTTACATATTACCTATTGCAAGAAGGATCATATCAGATAACAATAAAAGAATTCAGTGTTTAAGTTTTTGTAACTGACATTCAATAATACAAATCTTGATTTCTTGGATCTTGAATATTTTCTTAAATTTTGAAAACCTTTAAGTTAGAGCCTCAATTTTCCTTAAACTAAATTGTAATTGAGAATATAACCAAAAATTGAAATAAAGTTATTGGATGATGTTTTAAGAGTGCTTTACTGTTATATCCTGACTGTAGTAGTATCAGATTGGTTTATGTTGTTTATAGGCTTGCAGACATGCAACGCTTGTGAATTATGCATGAGGTGAAGTTAACATCAGTGGCACAGTATACCTTACAGCTTACAGTCCTGCAGAGGGCAATGGACGCTTAACATATGTGTAAATAAAGTGACCAAGCGTCAATATAGTTATGACCTCCCTTCATCTTAAAAATGCTAGACTCATAGGAACATTTTACACGTTACAACAGGCCTGGTTAGTAGGTAAATCCATTGGTGACTGGCTGGATTTGAACAAAGGACCTCAAGGACTAACCCCTGCATGTTATCAATAGACCAGCTCACTTAACATTGTATATGTTCAAATTTAAATTACACATTTTCTGTTCATAATTAATTGGTAAGTAGTGTTGTCATGTCCTGGTTTTCCGAGAAAAAAATGAGTTTCAGAAAGGGATAATAGTTCAGCTAGCTTCAGCTTATTTGGGAAAATATTCCAGGGACTCATATATGTGAATCAATATCACGAACACATTATTTTGTTTCCTTCTTAATATACCCCCTGAAGCAGTCATATATCAGGTAGTTGTGTTAAGTCCTGCTCCAGTGTGAATAAATAACAAAAACTTTTGTAACAATCGGATGTTTGGTCAAACAAAATTTGATTGTTGTAACTGATTTGAATCTCAACCTAACTCCCACCCCTGAAGTGTTTCCCTGTTTTACTCAGCAACCCTTGGTAAGAGTGAATGACCTGAACAATCGGCAATGTGCAATGTAAAACCACGTCCACACTAGATTTTACAACAAGGGTTTTTAACAAAAGTTCAGTTCATTGAATTAGAAATGTTTATGTTTTCAACAGTTTTTCAGTGTTTATGGAAGGAATTTTGTTTTCAAAACATGTGCTTGCAGGGCTTTGATAAATTCAATTCAATTTAAACCTCGAAAGCGGCACCATAGATCAAATATATGTTGATAAGTCTATGGCGACACATACTTCGTTGCATATTTTAGCTGAATATTATTGAAAATTGAGTGTAGAATGGAGTGAATTGGTCTTTGTAGCTTTGTTAGGTACTAAGATCAGCTGTTCCTTTGTGACTCATGACCATTATTAAAAGCCCAATAATCAAGGTCAGCTGTTTTTAATTTCAAACCATCAAAAAGCTTTTGGTTTTTTTCAGGATCGACCTGGCAACCTTGCTGCGTGTGGACCGGAGGCGGAGTTGCAAAATGCTTGAAACTTTATCAACATTACTTTGTTATCAACTACTACCATCTATTAGATTATGTTTGTATTTTATTTGAAACTTTTGACAATATATTTAATCACTACTTTTAATTTTTTTTGCCTATGTTAAAAATGTGTTAGCATTTGAAGTGTTTATGATCTGTTTATTACGATTCGAGTTAATATTACATCATGGCAACCATAAGGAAAAACCACATCGGTAATAAATCATTGTTGAGGTTGGGAATACTAGGGTACAAAAAATTTCTTAACTTGTTTAATAGAATATTTTTGCAAAAACCCTGGTCTTATGCGGGCCTTGCAAACAGCGGGCATGTGGATGATAGTTAATTTGTATGTATAATGTGTTTTTTAAAACAACAGACTGAAAATATATGTACACATTTTGAACTTGTAAGCCTGTCTGTACCTGTATTTTACCTGTATCATCTGTTATTGATAGAACTAGAAATTCCATTCCTATGATAAAGTAAAGCTCTGTTAGTAGTTTTTTTTGTTTTTTGTTTTTACACAAATTACTGATTTCTGTCAAATACCATAATTTTTCCCTAGTCCAACTGTTGGGACTATGGGACAGCTTATAATAATCTATAGAACTGCACGTTTTATAAAACAAAATAAAATTAAGAGATGAAACAGGCCCATTCAGCTATGTTCTAGTTTGATACAAAATGTTGTCAGTGGTGGTCTATAGATGGGATTTCTACTTCAGTATCTTAAGACAATGGTTAAATGCATTAAAATAGTCTGATATTGATGAAGTGCCGTACAATTTCTATAAAGTGAAACAGCAGTAACAATAACCACTGAATTTAATGTAAAATTATTTTCCAGGAACCCTAAAAGATTATGTGATGTATACGTAGCCTTAGCTAATATAATTTTCAAAGTCAACATTGAAATACATGAAATACAAATTAAATTAAGCTGATACTTTAATGAGAACTTACTTACTTACTTTACTTGAAAATACTGTAAACCTTTAGGTTTGTAACCAGTGCTTGTTTAACAGAAAAAAACAGGACCACTTGACAGCCCCACAAATATACATTATTTTAAAAACAAAAATAAAATGTGAAAGAGTGTGTATGGAAGTATGTGATGTGAAAGTATGTGATTATAAACTGTACGGTATGTGATTGAAAGAGAACATCAACTTTCAATTTAATTTAATGCCCGCATTTTGATAAAGAATGACATTGAATTTACAATTGGTCATGTTAATTATTTGCTCCAGACTGAAAATGTTAGTAATTTTTCCACTATTTTACACTATCAACTTTAAAATAATTAAGCTTTACTCTAAATTTTTTGTATCATTCATCACACACAAAATAAATCAGCAGCGAACATAAATTTAGCTTAGAATAAAGATTGCCAAAATGTACTTTTGCCCCTTTTGAATCAAATGTACATCAGGCTTCATATCACATTTCAAGAACCTGGCAACCATAAAAATAACCTGCAGTTTAGAAACACTATCTGAACAGCTGTTGTATTTCATTCTGTCTTTGTATAAAATATTTTGTAAATAAAAATAATTTGACTTTGATCGTGTAAATTCTGCTTGATTCTATGGACATTCAATAGTTCATCAACATTGGACCGTTTGCAGCTCTGTAAACATTACCCCAGACCGATCACCGATGTTTACTACTCGCCTAACCTAGACTAACCTCTTGATGGCCACCTTCTCGCCTGTGTCTATCCGCTGCCCCAGCACCACAGAGCCGTAAGTACCGTCCCCCAGCTGGTTCAGGGTGATGTACCGGTTCATCGCGGTTCTTCCTCATCCATCGGTCATGGTCTTCCACGCTGCACTGCCAACATTTACATATCAGTGGCCATATTGATTGTTGTCCGTTGCCATGGCGACACACTTAGACCAGGTACACAATCAATAGGGGGCAGCACCTGTTTCCTGTTTTGGGATTATGGTTATTGGGTCAAAGTCGTTGACTTTACGTACTACAGTGTGTGGGGTTGTGTAAAATTGAAAAGTTAAAAATTGGGTAATGGTAATACAAAAAATATAGTTGATCATATGCTATTTCCACTGATGTCTTCATAGAGAAAAGTCTCTACTAAAAGACTAATCTGCTTAACTTAATATGGCATAATATCTCATAATATGCCATTGTGTTTGTTAAAATTTTATTTTGTTTATTGAAAGTATTTTCCAGTTTTAAGAACTATAATCTTAGAATAGATAAATTCCTTTTGTTAAGCATGTGAAGCATGTCCCCTTTTTTGAAGCAAATCCTTATTTTGAAGCCGCAACTGCAATGAAATTAACAAATGATCATATAACATAACTCTCTCATGATAACAGAGGCAAACAAGAGGTCATTTGAATTATTCTAATATTTATATTCAGTTTCTTGTTGAGTGAGAATGGTTTGGCTGGGTTTAAAGTTGCAAATGTATTTCTTTAGCGGGTTGTACTTTTATTCTTATTCTTGTTAACTTTGGATATTAAGGTTGATTTTCTTTGTGTAGATGTTTTACTGCATAAAAGTACTCTTTGACAACAGTTTCACAAACTTCTTACAAAACAAATGCAATGTAATGACAAATTGGCATAATTAAACCGATGTTGTTCGGAATTAAAATTTTAGCTATGAAGAAGTTTTAATCAGCCAGAGCAGGATACAAATAAATCCAAAGCCTGTTTTAATAACATAATATGGTGTTCAAAAACAATAATCATTTAAAATAACCACTAGCATCAGCATGGATTAAAGTAGGTAGTAGACATTACATTAGATAAAAAGATTAATGGATTCCCACTCTCCACTCCTATGCTACCACACCACCATAGAATAAAATAAACACCATATCAATTCGCTACAACCATGCTTTAGGTCAATCAACTTTATTTAATTTTTTAAACAATATTAAGATTGTAATAAAAATAATTGCAATTATTGAATACTGTGAGTATGATATTTATAAAAATACTGTATATTATATTCGAAACCAGTAAAATACAGTAACAAAAGTAATATAGCCCCGCTGTGTATGGTGTCACGACCTAGCGGACAAAACATAAACTACTTTGACACATCCGCGTTCTATATTGTCGACGGTTGGACGTAGTTCCATAGTTTTCCGCTAGGAGCGTGACATACGTTTGTCACCCCAAAATCCAACAGTTTACTCTGTCAAATATTTAATCTTTATAGATGTATCAACCTTGGGAACAGCTGTTGACCACTTTAAGGTTAGTTTTGTCCGGTTTATGTAAAGATTAAAGAACGTTGTTATAATATTCTTTTATTGATTCCCTGTTAATAAACCAAAACTATAAACATCGTTGGTTTACACATTTTCGAAAAGTTGCAATATTAAATCTCGTTGGTTCGACTAGTTTGAACGAAATTAATTTTTGCTCCGAGACTTTTTCAAGACGAGATTATTAAAATTAAGAAAAAGTAACGCCTTTGCAAAGGAAACGCAGCAACAATGCCTTCCTGTATTGCGGGAATTGCAGAGACTTTCTGAAGGCGTTTTTTTTTTACTGTGTGCATCTCAAAAATCGGTTATCCGGTAATTCGTTTATCCGTTATGACCCTGGTCCTGTATATACAAGATGTGATAGGTTTTACTGTATACGATATTATCATCACTGAGATCAGAAGTAACATCAGTGTAGAAAATACTACAATGTTCTTTCGTCTCTTTTAGACTTTTAGACTCTTTTAGTTATGGTGTGCATGTTACAGTTGTAAACGTTGTCTTATTTTTTTTTCTTATGATTTTCATAACTATTTAAGTTCCTGTAAGCTGTTGTTATTTTGTACTGTCTCTTTGTATCAACTTTTGCAGTACTGAAAATAATTAGTTTATTGTTATGTCGTAGTTTTGAGAGATCTATAATCTCGTGTTGAACTTAAAATCCAGTCTCGTCCATCCCTACTTTATGTATTCATTGGCTTGACTTCTCACAGCGATTAGTCTAATCTCATTTAATTATCTACCAAATCACTTTGTTTTTGTTTGTGTTTTACTTCTGACTACGATATTTGTGTTGAGCGTTATGGATGTTGATTGAATATATATCGCGTCAAAACCGATTCAAAATTAAAATTATTGACCACCATCAATCGTCTTCTATCTGACGAAAATTCTGTCATTACAAAATAGTTACGTAAAGTAGGTAATTAACAACAGGAGCAGTAATTAAAACACTGTAAAATAACTAAACAATTATATCATCCGAAAACTTGAATATTTTATAATATACATTTTTGTTGTACATTTAAGGCAATTCTGATAATTATTGAGGTTAAGTTATTTCAAACGATTCATCGCTACAAACTTCAGTCAATAAAATCAAATAAAAATGCTACAAACTTAATAAATATTATGAAAACTTACTCGTCTTTCAGCAAAAAGACAATTCCAGCAAGAATTAGGTTATGATCGTTTTTGGGTGAACAACAATCACATGATTTTTATAAGGCGGGTATAAACTCTTTGGATCTATTTACAATGGGTGAAGTGAATAAAAAGTAGTACATACTACGTAGTTCGTACTACGTAGTTCTAGCACTTGCTCAAATCTAGGTGAATAAGAATTAGCTAGAACTAGGTAGTAAGTACTAGGGGTTCCCTAAATGATGTAGTATGTACTACCCTCTTAGTACGTACTCATAATCAAGACAGAACTGGCGCGCGGCGATAATCTGTTTGCCATTTCTGTCTGCACCTGCAGTTTTCTCAGTCGTGTTGATCAAATAGCCCTAGTAACTGCGCTTGACGACAATTTTTATGGCGTTGGCTAGGTATTGCAAGAGGGTGATAGGGCTTTAATATTGATTAGTGAGCTGCGAAAAAAACATTTCTATTACTTTGATAAATCTAAATTTCCGGGTGTAGTAAAGGGGAAAACAGTGTGTTGAAAATGTTAGATGATACAAAAAAAAAAAAAAAAACTCTTGGTAAGGATTTTAACAGATAACATGAAAAATGCGATGAAGAAAAAAACGAAGAGGAATGTTAAGGGAAATAAACCGACTAAGCTTAGAGAAGGAATTGAGATCTGATAGGAGAAAATGAGAAGGAAAAAAACTTGTTGGTAAACAAATCAACAATATCATTCTCAAATCATAGTACTGTAATTGCTTACAGTTAACAATATTTCTTATTTCAAGGTACCTTTTTCTGTTATGGACTTGGAGAAACATCGCCATCTTCGCCATTGACCAAACTGAAGCATGCCCATGAGCGTACTACATAAAAATGAAGTAACTACTATGCGGGCCGGTTTTTATTCACCGAAAAAGCCTAGTAGATACTACGTTCCCTAAATGACGAAGTATGTACTAGGGGTAGTACGAACTAGCATTTTATTCACCTGCAAGATGTAGTTTGTACTAGAGGCTAGTATGAACTAGCATGTTTATTCACCGAAAACCGAGTAAATACTTCAAAAAGAAGTACGTACTACCAAATACTACCTTTTATTCACCTCACCCATTAACAAATAAATGCTGTTATTATTTTGTTTTTGCACCAAAATGCTTAAGTGAATGAGTACAAATATAGAAATGTAGCCCACAATGTACTGTATTATCTATATTATACAGGGTGTCTCGGAACTCCCTCGAATCCTTAGGTATGTGTTTTTTTGCATTCAGACAAACTTGTTTTACAATGATACGAATGTGCATAGTTGACCGTCTGTTTAGCAGTATATGATTTGTGCTATCCTAATAACATAAAATCGTGTTCAGGCTACAAACATGAAATTTAGCAATGTTACTACTATTTATGTACTCGTAAATGCATTTTTCAGGATGCAAAGAAAAAAATCTTAGACAAGGGAGTCATAGAACACCGTACAGAAGAATTAATTATTAGCTATACTATACATAAACTAAAAAAATCAAAGTCATAGAATAAAGGATTACTTTTTACAGGGGATGTATACTAATAGTTCTTAGTGGTTTTAAAAGGGTAAACGGAGAGTGATCTGGTCTAGTGGCAGAGTGTGAAAGCGGGACATACATCCTTGAAGTCAGGGGTTCAAATCCCACCCATCACCACTGGATTATCAAAGTGATAATGCAACCCTATAGGTCTAGCCTGAATTAATGTGAGAACGTAGCCTAACGTCCTGTGATGTGAAAATGTGACATACAAAAATGCTATGAAATGCTGTCCGAAAGTCACGAAAGCTGGGAAAGATGTGTACGCTTTAGTCAACAGTCAAGAAACTGTTCCAAAACATCAGACATATCCTATACAGCTTCGCTCATGGGCGGAATCCCAGTCCCGCTATTTACCGCCATTCCCATGAACCCGCCCATTTTTCCCGCGCGGTCTGCCGGAACCAAAATATTCGGTGTTTAGGTTCTCGTACCGATGGGAACTTCTCGTCCTCCGTTATTGTTGTTTGATTTTCGCTATACACAACGATGTACAATTTCGCCAAATTTACGTGGCAGAACCGACAATTTAGAACCGGTTCTGTTGTAGAGTTATATAAGATTTGTTGGCGATTTTGACTTGTTTTGGGGAATAAAACTAATATTGCACTAGTCTATTGTAAACATACTCTGAATTATTGGATGCACTAATTAAAATATTAATCCGAAGATTTAATTTAGTCCTGTACAGTTCATACTCAAGGTATTATGTCCGGTAATCGTCTATACTTCTTTCTATTATATTTTTTAAAACGATTGCGAACAATACATCGACATTTTTAAACTACTGTTTTTCCTCTAATATTACAAATAGGCTTCGGCAATTGGAAAGGAACAAAGAATAAAGAACCGAACATCAAATAGCCTAATCATAAACAAGATTTGTATATAATTACAACAATCAACCTGATCATATCAAACCATAGTATATAGTCTATATTTTATTCTATATTTTTATCTATATTTTTTAAGCTTAGCATGAACTACCATAACAAATACATATTCTTTATTATTATTTATTTATATTATTTAATTTACTGTCACAAAAAATATGTCACGTAAGTTATTACGAACCACACCAATGTTAGCCATCTAACTTAATTCATCATTATGTATTGTTAAAGCATATTAACAAATTTAAGTAATTATTGTAAATGGTTGCTACCGTCAAATAATAAATAAATAAATAAATAGTCGTCTAACGGCAAAGGTCATATCATCAATACATGTTTTTACTCAGCAGCACATCTTCCGCTACCGTACAAATTCCAAAATCTTGCCTGAGACGCTCGTCAGATGTTTCAAACCACACCGCCTTTAGCCGCACGTTGTTGACATTCGAAGCATTGTTGCGAGCGCGCTCTCTGATTGGCTGTTGCAGGTCATGTGACTCCCGGCTGCCAGCTGAGTGCTGACTGCTGACGCTTGTTCAGTCTGTAGCCAACGTTGCTAGAGTGCGCTAGTGTCGCGCGGTTTGTGCTCAGTGTTGTGTCGCTGCTTTTCTGTATTGGATTTATTTCACAATTTAACTAAGGTAAGAATTTTTCGTTACATAATACTATAACTAAAATATAATAATTTACGAAAATTTAACCTAAAAGCAGGAAACCCCCAAGAGTTCTTTCTAGTTCAAATATCATTAACAAAATAAGGTACTGTGACATAAACATTGTCTGAAAAGAACGCTTTTAATACCTTACTTAAGTATTTGGGAAATTCTAAACTGTTTTACGAGAAAACTAAAAGAGATTTACGCTACAGCTATAAACATATTTTTTCACAAAAACTTGACATTCGATGTTGCATTTTCGTTATATATAAGTCAACTAAATTATTCCTGTTCAAAGATTTTATCAGCGTAATTAACTTAATGATACCTACGTAATTATATAGCAGAAATGATAATCGTAAACTAGGATCCTTAAGTTAATAAAGTGATTGTTTGATAGTAAAATTGGCCTTTAGTAAGCTACTAGAAACTTGCATACAACCATTAAATGTTAACTATCAGTAGTTAAAATAACTAGACGTCATATTTAAATTTATAGCAATTATTTCATCATTTTCAAATTTTATTCGATTTGATTCTGCGATTTGGACCACCTACGTGTCTAATTGAAATTAATACTATAATGTCCAATTAATACTATCAATGTAGTTGTTGTTTAAGTGATTTATTTACTGTTACTGGTTTTTTTATTCTTTATCTTTGTTAGCTAATTACTAAATTTGTTGTTCCCCATGTTGATTGTTAATTATTGTTGCTATTTATTGTTATATATTGATATATTTTTGATACATTCTCATTTATTAGGGGTTTTTAGTCAGGTCATCTTCATGTTATGTATGAAATGTTTTATGTAAGTCTGAATGCAACGTCTTACCATCATTGTATGTATAGGAAAATGTAGTTTTCTGTCTGTAAATAAATAAATAAATGTATATGATTAACGCTACTGCTTAAATTTAACATATTTCACCGCGCTTAATATAAAATGTATTATTTATTTTATTAAACACTGATAAAAGGGGTAAAATACACCGAAGAATGAACCATTTTTACCCTGTTATGCGTTTGTTAAAATCAATTATCCTAAATATTACATTTTCTGTTACATTGTTGGTACACCACAAAACCATTCATAGCATTTTAAAATTTTGTTTTGTTTGATCATTAATTGTTCATTGTTTAACTTCAGGGAATGTATAAAAAAATACTAACAAAGAATCATGGTTAAGTAGAAAATTGTACAATGTCATTACTTTTATGTGAAAAGAGTTTTCTAACGTTTTTGTAGGTGTACTTCAGCTGTGTAAGGCTAAGTGAATATATTTTGTGTAAAATTTAAGGTGGAATGAATTTATGGTGTTTGAATTTGTTACAAACAAAAATAGTAGATATCCATTTTTAACTGCACCTCTGTTTTAAATATGCAATCGCAATATACTCATTACACAACAATATGCAAATTGCTTTAGAGCTCTTTAAAGTGTCTCCTGTATTAATGTGTTTGAATTCATAATTCAGTTTTGAAAACACACTTACATCAGGTTAAATAGCTCAATTTATTCCAGAACAAAGAACCCTTTAAATTACCTATAACTATCAATTTTTACGACTATAAACAGTTATTTTTATCGCCCTCGAACTCCCATCAGCCCTGTTTAACAAGAAGCCGCAAAGGGCTAAAAAACAGAGAACCCTAATTATGAGCCATTATACCACGATCCGCCCTAAACGAACCTCCAAGCTAAGGGTTCCGGAGTGCAATAAATAGGGAAGGCCGGATTGCGTGCGCCTTTAAATTGTTTTTTAACCCACGAAACAAGAAGTTTGAAACACAAACGTCAAATTAACCGCACACTAAACATTTAAGCAATTTTTTAATTCAATTGAAATCTCCGTGTGAAATTACAAAGCCTGTAATTTTCTAACCGCAGCAATAGACTGTTATTAGCCTGTTTGAGATGTTTTGAGCCGAAGTTCAGTTGGAATTGTGAATAAGCGATGCTTGGGGGAAATGGATTTCTTTAATATTTGTCCTACATTCTATTGTTTTTGGATTCAAAATAATTTCCTAAACTTATAACAGAATTTTTCACGTATCTTTTGTTTGAGAATGTTTTTAACAGTAACATTATAACTAGAATGTAAAAAACATGAAAAAACATTGAAAGTAAACCATTCCTAATTTATCATGCTTGTGCGCGCATGTATTTATTTTGAAACGAGTCTGTAGTATATTTTTGTTCGTATTACGATTTTCTCATTAATGTCACTTTGGGCCTGTATATTATCACATCAGCTTATATTCATGCAGTCACTTTTGTGTAAACAATCTCGCTATCTTGTACAAATTAATTTTTTTTATTAGTATATCGTAGTCTTATAGTAGAGCCTACAGTAAATTACAGTATGGTTTTATTTGTGTAAATTGGCTGCTTGCCGTTGAAATAAATCCCAGCATAGAATAAGTGTACAGTGTACAGTACTACCATTTTACAAATTTGCTATCTTTTATAGATTAGCTGAAAACAATTTAGATATCATTGAGTCCGGTTTCTGTATACTGTAGGGCGTTTTCCGATCACTACTCATCTATTTCATGTTTAACTTATTTCAAAAGTATGTATAGTATTTAGATTCAAGCAAAATAGGTTACAACAATCTAATTACAATAAATAGCTTGTCATAGTGTGTTATACCATAGAATAAAGAGAATACAATATGGCCATACCAAGCAATAACGCAACGATAGTAAGATCTAAGATCTACCGTAAATTAAAAGGAAAGCATTTTATAAACTTCAGCTCACTCTTATACAAACACGAAACATAAAATCTTCAAGTCTTACAACATGACGAGAAGTACATTATTTCAGTATTGCAGTCAATAATACATCATACCTTACGGTAAAAATAACCCTCATCATAAGATGAGCTTGCAAGATGCGGCGGATAAGTAGCCTCCGTGGCGCAATTGGCTAGCGCGTTCGGCTGTTAACCGAAAGGTTGGTGGTTCGAGCCCACCCGGGGGCGTTAACTTTTTTTGGAACAAATAGATTGATTTGAATTGCTTTGAATCTGTTGTGAGTTTGTTTATTTTTATTTTCCCCCAAGGAAAGTGTAAGTTGTTGTGATAAAGGTTTACCCTAAGTAATTAAAACTGTCGCTGGAATAATATCCAAGCTGTGTAGCGTTCTAGGGGTTTCAGTAATGTTCTTATTTATTTATTTATTTCACATTTTAACGGATGACCCCTTTTAATGAGTACAAACTTTGAGACGGTAAATTCATGTTTGATGGTCGAATATGACAAAACAACAATTAAGAAACAGCTAAACTGCAAACATTACATGTGCATGTGACGAACAGTGAAAGACAATACAAAAACAATATACTTTACAATGAACAACAATGTAAAAAATTAAATTGCAACATAATAGCCTAAGTTACAAATTAATCAGTGGCAATAACAATATAATTATCAATAATAAATAACTACGTATCGTAACAATAAACAAACTGTAAATTGCAGCAATAAAAACAACGAACGCGATGATTTTATCTACTACTGTAATAATGTAGAACAGTACTGTACTTTATCATCCTGTTAACTTGTTGGATAAATGAATAATACGAATATTGTAAAGTTTCGAAATTCAACATAATTAATTATCCTTGCTGGTGGATTGGGGTTGAAGTTTCAAAGCATTAATTGATTAAGAGAGTATGCGTTTTACTTTGCATACGTGAAGTACTTTTACCAGCAAAAACAAAGTTTGAAAGAATCTACATTGGGAGTTATGAAAGTATTTGCCACGACCATACGCTGTACGTATACTGTAGGCGGAGGGAAGGTCTAGTGACGTCCCCGTGTTGCGTGTGTGTGCGTGTTGCGTGTTCCACTTTAACGTCTCATCGTACACGTTACACGTCGACTAACCGCAGCATTCCTCAACACGAATGAACAATCAGCTGTTACTGCCTACACGTGCAATTGTTATGGATACAATGAAAACGTTGGGTCTATTTTAATAATAGTAATAGCACTGATAAAATATACTCTCTTGGTAGATTTCTCATACTATTGGATAAGCTGAAGCCAATTTTTTGTTTGTTCTGCTCGGTAGACTAGACGTCGTGTTTTGTTTACAATTAGTTTCTTGTTATTTCAGTAATTTTAAATATCGTTTAAATTAATAAACAGCCTCATAGTAAACAATAACTCGTCCCCGAGTTTATAACCACACAGTAAAGAACAGATAATGAAATTAACTCTATAGTAGAAAAAAATCTTCACCAGCGATCAGTGTCACCGGACATGAACTAGACACGAAAAAGAGCTTCAAAATTTAAAATCGGATGAGAAGTCTACTTGTGTTGGTTAGTCTATGGTATTAGGGTCTACGGTTTTTGGGTTAAGGCCAATTGGGCCGTATTTTAACCAAAGTAAAACTGATTTTCATACCTTTCTGTAAAAAACTACTTTCTGGTCTGCCCAGAGACAAGAATTAATTAATATAAGCTACTAACTGTGTAATGTGGCAAAAAAGTAAATGATTTACACTAATACAGTAATACATCAAAAAGAGATTGTGTTTTTTGTAGTACACACAGATTTTAGTTATCCCATATAAACCACGACAACAAACACAAGAAATACAGTGACAGATTGACAAATCACCTCCTCAAGTTAATTAATTAACTGTGGTCACTCTAAGTTTCACAACTTGATGGATTTACAGTCTCGTAAACATTTGTGCAATATCCTTGACCGCTTTCCCTTTCTGTCTCCGCCTACAAATTCAACTTTCGGCGAGAGAATAATTGACTCCTTTGTGGACATCGTCGTTTAAAGGTTGAAAGTGTTAAAGGCACTTAGAAATTTTTTGGCAGTGAGTAATCTATATGAATGAAATTAGAGTTTCGTCTCTACATTGCGAAGAATCATAAAGTTTTTTGTTATAAAAATAACGTAAAAACTTATATAGGCTTACCCGTCAGTAGTCCAAAATTGTGTCTTATTTCAAC